CCCTGCCTTTTCCATTTTAACCAATTGATATACCCATCATATCTGTTTCTTCTGCTGGCATTAAACGCAATGCAGATTTGATCTTTGGGTCTTCAGAATCAGTAAGATGGTACGAGTCAAGAAAGAGCATGACCGAAGAACATCTGATAACCCTGTACAGTCCTGAATACTAGGAAGAAGGTGCCATCTCTAGACTCTCCATAGATTGAAATGTGACAAGAAGGAAGCCTCGGGATCTTAGAAACTGATAATGTTCTATCAAGATATCTGGGGGTAATGATGTCTGGCTCGTTGTGGTGTCTTCAAAGTTTTGTATTGTTTTATGGTCTCTGTACAGACAAACGTTTCCCAATTTACAGTTATATATGTATCTTCATTTTTGTAGGATGAAATATTCCTTAATTGTACTCGAATTGAATGAAAAGAATTAAGTTAATAGTTTGATTAGAATTTTGAGAGAATTAACAGCTATCTCCTTTTAACTTTTATTATACATGGTTGGTAGATTTATAACCGTCCGATCAACCCGTACAAGTGAAGAAAAAGAGAAGCTATATAGGAAGCATAGCGGCTAGCAGTGTCATCGGTTTGGGCAAAGCCCGTGGTTGGGCTCGGAAAGCGGATGAGCAAGAGGCTGAGCATGTGCAGCAGGAGTCCTTCGCCACCGCCAAAGCCCAGAAGAAGTTTTGGAACGGTGTAGGTACGGAAAATATGGAAATGTGGTTTACTACACACTGAAATTTTGTATGTACGTAGGCCAAAAGCTTTTTGAAACTTCAATCACAAATTGCATTCATTGTAAAAAACGTGTTTTGGTTTGAAATAATTTAAGAAAGAAAAAAAAAAAAGAATTTATAACTTTTTCTGATATTTTCTTATTCCATATTATACTGCATACATAAATGGAAACGAATAAAAATGGATTTTTTTCCACCTACAGTCCATATCTTAACCTGTTGAGTCAGTTTTTTCCAGACCAATTGCATCTTATATATTACATGTTACCCAAGAAACAAAAAGGATTATGCAGACTAGAATGGGGAAGAAGATGGGAATTGTAGCGTTTACTCTTTATCTTTGCATCACCTTCGCACTCTGTGAATATTACTCAAAAATTGTTCCATTCTCGCCAAAACAACGAGTAGTCACCAATCTCCATTTCTTCTTTCATGACACTATTACCGGACCAAACCCATCAGCTGTTCTCATTGCCAAGTCCAATCACACCGGAAATGACAGCTCTTCTCCGTCACCATTCGGCTCTGTTTTCGCCATTGACGACCCTCTCACCCTCGGACCCGACCCGAAATCCGAACAGATTGGGAACGCCAAAGGAATGTACGTCTCCTCCGGAAAACATGTCCCTACGTTGACTATGTACGTTGACTTCGGGTTCACCTCCGGCCAGTTTAACGGCAGTTCCTTTGCTGTGTTTTCGAGGAATACGATAATGGAGAAGGAGAGGGAGCTTGCGGTTGTGGGCGGTCGAGGAAAGTTTAAGATGGCCACAGGAGTGGCTCAACTCAATACATACTCGGTTAACTTGACCAGTGGTGATGCCATTGTTGAGTACAATGTAACTCTCTATCATTATTTATAAAAAATTACATAATGTTTCTATGAGCCAAAACAGTTAAGGTTGGCCTAGTATTATCAGTTTAAACCAATAGCATATCAAAAGATCGAGTTCCACCATCTGCACAAATCAATGTAATTCTTCTTGGCTAGGCTAGTAGACGTTTTAAATGGTAAGAATATCTGGGTTTCTACATGTCTTACCATTACTCTGCCTCTCAATCTTGGGTTACTTTACAAACAAAACAAAAAAAAAATCACAATTTAACCAAATGAATAAATATATTTACCCAAATAAACAAACTTTTTCTTATGACAAATAAGTCAAATCCTAAAAGGTTAAAAATCACACAAGCGAGATTATTTCCTTAGATTCATGAATCTACTAACATATACATTGGTACCAAAATTGTCTTGTTTTTCTTTATTCAGAACCCCCAACTGGATGATTCAAAAGTTGTAAAATCATGCTTAGCATTGTTTCATCCTCTTGTCATTTTAAACACTTAACCAAACCAAATCTCAATTTCCATATGAAAATTTCTTGCACAATTTGCTCTATCAAAGAAAATTAATACTACAAGAGAGCATAGAAGGAGATCGGTTGGTTTTTATGATTCCTAGATATCAGCTTCACCAATGTAATAATAACACAGAATTACTTAATTCAAACCATTAGATTATTAGGTGAACCATTACGCCACCACAAGCTTGACTTTGTCACATTACTTATTTTGCTAACGTAAGATCCTTTTTTAGTTTGGTTTAACCAACTTGGACTCTGAGTGAGTCGTGAAAATATAAATTGCGTATTAATAAAACTCATTTTACTCGCACAATACACACCATCATAAGGAAACAAAAGAAACAATTAGGGACAACTATGGCAAAATCAGAACATGTATCAAGAATGCTTGTTGTGTTAATAACAATACTGCCACTGGCTGCTCAAGGATCAAGACAATACAGCTGGGCTAATCAGCTAGAGGAATCAGGGAAGGAGAAGGTAACGAACCTTCAGTTCTATTTCCACGACACCTTGAGCGGCAAGAATCCGACCGCAGTTAAGGTGGCTCAGGCCGCAGACACCAACAAGTCCCTGACGCTGTTCGGCGCCACTTTCATGGTCGATGATGCTCTCACCGAGACCGCGGATCCCAAATCCAAGCTCGTTGGCCGTGCACAAGGCCTTTACGGTTCTTCATGTATATTGCATACATTAAATTGTTACATACGATAAACCGGACCGGGAATAACCGGTTTGATACACAAACCAATTTTGATTGGATTATATCTTTGGTTTTTCCTTTTCTTGGACAGGTAAAGAAGAGATTGGTCTGATCATGGCGATGAGCTTCTCTTTTGAGGACGGTCCGTACAAGGACAGCACCATAAGCATGATCGGGAAGAATTCAGTGATGAATCCGGTTCGAGAAATGCCTATAGTCGGCGGCACGGGAATATTCCGGATGGCTCGTGGTTACGCTATTGCTAAGACCAATTGGTTCGACCCCACGACCGGTGATGCCATCGTTGGCTATAACGTTACTGTTCATCACTAGAAATGTTTTTTTTTATATAATATATTTTAGCGATTCCTATATGTAACATTTTCAGTTCTTGGCATTTCTCTACTTCTCTTTTATAATTCTAGATTTTGTCTTGACGATGAGATAAATAATTATGTATTTTACATCAAAATCCCTTATATATTAGTTGTGAAGTGATTTTGTGGAGTTTGCTTATGTGTCTTCACCAAATTCATTCTCACAATTAAAATGTGACATGACATTCTAAAAAATATGAYATGGCATTYTAGCCCATTACTCCCTTATTACATTAGCCCAAACTTAATAAATTAGTTCAAATTTAATCACCTACATGAATTTGGCCGAAATCACTTATATATTAGTTGTGAAGTGATTTTGTGGAGCTTGCTTATGTGTCTCCACCAAATTCATTCTCCAATTAAAATATGACATGACATTCTAAAAAATATGACATGACATTCTAGCCCATTACTCTCTTATTACATTAGCCCAAATTTAATCACCTAAATGAATTTGGCCGAAATTTTTATTAACACAATTACTTACCACAATTAAACTTAACCTAATATTGCTCGACTATATATTGATAAAGGATGACGACAACCAAAAAATTCATATTCCTTATATATTAATTAGAGAGTGATTTTTTGAAAAAAAACTTACGTGTTTTCACCAAAATCATTCTCCCAATTTTAATGTGACATGGCATTGTAAAAAATATGACATGGCATTCTCTCTAATTTAGCCCATTCATCCCTAATTAAAATTAGCCCAAGCTTAATAATAAAATCGGCCATAATTCAATTAACCCAATTTTACAAGCTATTGCTACATTAAACTGATCTTTTATATATAAAGTTATAAGAAAATAATAATGAATTTTTTTTTTGCAATGTAAGTAAACTTGAAAAAAACATCTAATCTAAATGTCCAATTTCGTTATTGAATCTAACAAAAAACATTATTATCGATAATATATATTTTTATTTTAGATATTGTTATTCAAAACTACAATAATTCACACGGGATTAATCAAATGGATATTGAACACAATTGATCACAATATATTGTGTTTTGTTTTGTCAATTTTCAAGCTTCAAAAAAATTTACACTCACAGTAGTAGTACTTTGGTGCAATGTGTTAACGACAACGTCGACACTACAATATCAATAGAAATGGAAATTTTATAGAAACGACCAAATCTTACTTGGTTATTACGATATAAAGTTAGATACAATGATCAATTC